ACTGCCAGTAACAGTTCTACCTCATTGTTAGTCTCAAGAGATCTCTTCTCTTATTTCTACCAGAAAGTCCTTTCTGGTAGAAATCTTTTCATTTTAACCTAAACCAGCACCTTTTTTCTAAAACTTCAGGCCTGTCTGTCTAATATAGACACACTTCTCCCAACAGACATAAAACAACAAGATAATTCAACAAAGGTATAAAATTCAGCTCAATAATAGCTGTCAAGGTTCACAGACATGTCATTTGTTTTTTGCTAGTTACCCATCATTAGCCTACACATGTTTACATTGCATAAATTAGCCTCACAGCTAGCGGACTTTCCTCCCTTCATTACTTAAAAAATGACATGTTGTTTAGACTTTTTCTAACTCACTGTTGGTTTAAGTCACTGCGTCTCCCGTCAGAACAACACAGCTGAATTTCACACTGCATGCACGATTTTTTAGCCCAACATTGTTGAAACAGAGCAGCTGATGTTGCTGTAGTGACAAGTTAGCAGAATGAGATGCCCGTTCAGGAGGGGTGTAACGGTACACAAAAATCTCGGTTCGGTACGTACCTCGGTACACAAGTCACGGTTCGTTTTTTTTCGGTACAGTAATGGAAAAAAATAGACAACTATTAAATATCTTTTACTTATTGGTAACCTTATTAAAACATACCACCACAGCAGTTAACTCTTTTTACACAATTTTTGAATGAAACAAATATATATAAAATCCTGCTTTTTCACATTGTTTGAATGAAAATAGAAATATTAAAGTGAAAAATAAAATCCTGCTGTTTTTTTAACACATTTTTTGAATGAAAAATATAAATATAAATTTCTGCTTTAACAGTTTTACTCAATTAAAATAAAAAGTATAGTGCAGCTGGTCAGCTTTAAAGCCTGCTCAGATTCAGTTTTACTAGGAACTTACTTAGCTTTCCCACTTTGTTAAAGTGCAGTAAACAAAACATGCTTATATCTAAAGTGCAGCTTAAACAATTTTACTCAACTCCAATGGCGTTGGTTATTTCTTTAGCGCAGTGGTCAGGGAAACGCTCTTTCTTTTTAAACGACGACTATATCGTAGTTTGCACCAGATTGCTTTTTCTAGTCGTGCTGGTTAACGTTCAAACTCGGGTGGTGTTGCTTTAGATGCGTTAGCATGTTAGACGTGTTTCCAAGTACATACCCGACCGCTGTTCTGCAGTGTCGGCACACTGCTTTTGTCTTGTCCACTTGTTTATTTCCATCTTCGTATTTTACCCTGAAACCAAAGTGTTCCCAAACGGAGGACTTAAGGTTTGTGGGTGGGTCTTCAGGTTCGTCAGGCTCACTTGCCATGTTGTCAAAATGCGAGAATGTGCTGCACAAAGTGAAAGCGGAGATTTACAGTCGGACTCGGTCCGTCACTCAATTATGTCCGTCGGGGAACTAGATATTTTAAATGGTTCGGCTCTCAAAAACGGAATTAAAATAAAACAAAATAAAATAAAATAATATCCTGCGCCCAATAATTCAGTACATGGTCGTGCTGAACCGAAAGTCGCATACCGAACAGTTCGACACAAATACATGTACCGTTACGGCCCTACCATCCAGGCAGGTCACGTCATTTCATGTTTTATCTCATAAGGGCATAGTTTACATACAGCATGTGCTGGGGTTTTTTCTCCGAAATTGGAAATATTTCCACTCTGCTGATTTATGCTGGATTATACAACAGTTAGTTCCTGCCCTGCAATCTGATTGGTCGAGAGACAGTAAAACTGTGACGATATTGGAGTACAACATCACGGTTATTTCACTGTGTATGTATCACTCCGCCTCACAGCTGATTGCAATCAACAATCAAATCAAAACTGACGGTTAGTGTCAGTTAGGTCAGCAGTTGCATTGTAGGCTAATTAATTCATCCACTGTCAAACAGCCAGAAATATGGATTTATTTCCTAAAATAAGTTTTGAATTGAACTATGAATGGTCATCAGAGGAAGATGAGGGAGAGGAGAAGCTGAATCCATCTGAGCACATATCCAGGTTTGTCAGTGTTTCATCAGCGGAGCTCAATGACTTGGAGAAAAGCAACATATTGTCAGATCAGAAGGCAGAGTCGGCTGTGCCTGTGAAGCCACAGTCCACCATGCAGTCACCAGAGACTTATTTCACCTGCTGCACAATTAATGGAAACGTGCAGATAAATGTGTATAAAGAGTAAGTGCCTGGCGCACCATGTCTGCGTTACATAGCAACGGTGACAGCGGAGTCCTGAGGGAACTATTTTTGTTGGCGGAAGACAAATAAAATGCTTAAATTATCTATTTTGTCCTCATTTTTCAACATTTCTTAATCAGCCTCGCTTATTTAACTGTTGAACTGTTGTATAAAAGCAATATCACACTCGACCTGCGGCCTCGTGCCTATGACCGAATCACAGCCGTGACGATATCACAGTACAACATCACTCCCTCTCGTGTGATATTGCTTAAGTATATAACGTTATCCTCATCGTCTTTCTCTTTACTGGACGCTATCGTCTGCCCGCTGCTGTTTGACTGTGTCAGAAACTTTCAAAACAACAATCATCCCAAAGATGACAATATAGATTGATGTTTTCACTTTGCATCAATGATACTGGAATCCTTGGTCATTGAATTGATATATAGATCCAGATCAATGGTTCCTTACACCCCTTTCTGGTATTATAATTTAAAAAAAATACTCAGCCCTAGTTAGTACAGATGGAGATTATTTCTGAAACGGTGCTGAAATGATTGTGTGTACAGAGAACGTTTTAAAATAAAAAGATGTTAGCATGGATGCTGCTTTCTTTAGCACAGTGTATCCTGCAGGTAATGTTATTTGCCAATAAAATATTTCAAGTCTGGCGCTAAGATGTTTGGGTTGTTATCTGTCGACAGACACCTGATAGAAGCACAGAACAGGAAACTTACAGCTGTCTCTCCTCTGTAGGATTTAGTGGCATCGAGCTCAGAGACAGAGCTCGTTAGATGTTTTATCACCAACAAAGGAAAACTGATCCTTCATTAAATATCACATTATGTTGGCAGACTTAAATCAAGTTACAGGTTTTTATATCTAACCCATTAAACATATTTTAAGTTACTGCTTTATCAAAATGTCTTCTTTATTTTGTTTCAAATGATGATATTATGTTTTAGAATGAAACAGAAATCAGGGGTTTATCTCCTCACACGTTAAAGTGTGTATAAGGTTATGAGTGTGTAACTGTTCGAGGTCGGCTGTGATCAGACGGGGAATATTTCTCTCTTCGGGATAAATGACAGTCTGGATCCCTCGGCACTGCTAACCTCTCCGCGTCCGTCATGGTGGTTAGGCAGACGTTCATGTTGTAGCAGAGCGCTGGGTGCTGGGCTCGGACTGGCTGGGAGAGCCTGGCGCACACTTTGAAATATTAATGATCTACTGTGGAGAAGGGCTCAACCTCCCCCCTTGTTATCTCTCCCCACCCTCCTCTCCCCTCTCTCATCTTTCTGCCTGCTGCTCTTTCTCTCTTTCAACTCCCTTCGTTCTATTTTCTCTCTTCCTTTCTTCCCTCTTCTTCATTTACCTCTCTTGTTCCTCTCCCTTCTTCATCTTCCTCTCCCCCCTCTCAGGAGGGCTGTGAGATTGTGTTATGTCATATTAAAGAGACAGGCGCACTGCAAAGTGAAAAATACGACATAATAAGAATCATCCCAGGAAACTTGTGGATTCAGCATCGATTTTGGATCAGTGTGAATCAAATTTTCTGTGAGATTTTTGGGAGGAATGGCGCTTTCCTTGTCCTTTCATCTCTTTCTCTCTGTTTCTCTCTGACACAGTCCATAAATCTCTCTGTGTCCTCTCTCTTTTCCACAGTCTGTTTTCATCCTCTTTCAGTCGTCACCACACCCTTTATTCCCTCCTCTCTCTTGTTCTGCTTCGCTGCATCAGAGGAAAACTTCACTAAAGAGAGAACTTTAATGTAAAATGCCACATCTGTTGTTTGAATACTTACTTTATATCTCAGGCTGCTGTTGATGGGTCGGTGTGTTTTTGCCTTAATTGGTTTTCAAAGTCAAATCTACATTATTGCCATGAAAGCAGTGAGTAAGCTGTGGGCTGCTTGAGCGGCTTGTTATATTTTGGCTATCTATATTTTTATTTTTACATTTTGGCAAATATAAAACCGTTAAAAGAAGAGATGCAAGATTTTGGATTTTTTGCCGATATGTAACAACTCATTTGACGGGTAACCGTTATTGATATATCCACTTTGTTCCATCCTAATTTAAGTGATCATCATCTCTTCTGTAGTGGAATTAACATCATATTAAACATGCACATTCTTAACATGATGGCCCACCAGCAGATGGAGACGTGAAAGACTGGGTGACAGACTGGGTGGCTGGGCTCAGCCTGAGAGGCAGGGTGAGGAGGGAGCTCGGAGTAGAGGCAATACAATAAAGCCAATACTGATGATGTGCTGATATTATGGTGCATACTATTAGATGTTCCTGTTTGCAGTGTGTCCATGGGTGTACGAACAACTGTCGCGTGTTTACTATGATACTGAAGAAAAGTTAAGATGTGATGATCCTAAGGCGAGTTCTGCAGCTCTCTTTGTTTCTATGTTTTCATAAACTTCATTAGTGATGGACATCAGAGATACAGTCAATCTAAAAATATTTGTATCATGTCTGTGTGTTCAGATATGACTGAGTAAGGACTCTGAGAAGGAGCATATATTTTGATGCAAACAGCAGCAATGAGGCACTAAAGGTTTCAAAGTACCTCAGCACACTCTCTGAGCTGTGTCACTGCTACAGCTGCTGACTGTGTCGCTGAGCATCTACAACTCAGCAGTTAGTAAGTTAGCCACTTGTCAGCATCTGTGACACTATCTTAAGTGGTTAAACTGAACCCTGAGATAAAGTAAGCATTGTAATGGATTCTAACTGTATTAACAAACTTCTCCTCCTTGTCTTTTTACCTCTTTCCTCTCTCTCAGACGTGGCTGGAGAACTATGGCTACCTGCTGCCTCACGACGTCCGCACGTCAGACCTACGAGAGGAGAACGCCATGCAGTCTGCCGTGGCTGCCATGCAGCGCTTCTACGGCATCCCTGTGACGGGAATACTGGACAAGACGACTATAGAGTGAGTCACTCATGTGTTTGTGTTTGCACAATAAAAAAGAGAGCACTAAAGATAAGCCATTAATCCAGTGTTACTCAAGTTACGGCTCCCCACCTGAATCTGTCCCAAATCTGCTACATTGTGTCCTATATACCAGGGGAGGAAATCACAAGTTTCATCCCAATGAGATATTATATTGATTATTTGGACAACAATACGATATTTGCCGATATCAAAAGTCTGCCACGATACAGTTTCATGGGCCTATGATCGATATAAGACAGTGGGCCTCATGCAGGCAGCGATATAAGATCTGTTCATATCCACAGTTTGTTCTTATTTTGTAAGTACCCACTGGTTTCTTGGAGTCACCAGTGTTTTCTTCTTTTTGCTTTTATTTTAGGCTGCTGTCAGCCCTAGAGTCGTCTCCTTTGGTCTGAATCAGGGACTCATGTTGTTCCAAAGTTGTATAATTGCCTAGAGTTGGTTCGTGTTCTCACGGCAGCATTTACAAGAGGACCAGATCAAATGCCTTGTGTGAGAAAAATCCAGGAAGTAAAGCAAACGTTATAGAAGAGTACACTTGCAAGATAAATGTGACACTTTCTAATGTCACAATGGAGGGACAACTACGCAGGTTGATTTTAGCGCTGCTCATCGTGGACTATATTGCTGTCATTGTTCATTTTAGTCAAAGCATACAGTTTGAAAACGAGGCGCGGCTCCAACTAGAAAACAATGTTTTGATGCATTGGATGTGCTGAATGTGCATATTAAGGCAGTACAGGAGGAGGTGCATATTAATAATCCTCCAGGACTGTAACATGCTCATGTTTAACCCAAACAATGTGTCATGTGACTGCAGTTGCTTCACATCCAGGTCGGAACACCTTCTCACCACAAACCAACCGCACCAGTGTTCCTTTGGAACCGGACTGAGACCACCTCTTCAAGAAGGTCTCAGTCCGGTTGTTTTGGTGTGTTCACACCTGCACAAACGAACCGCACTGAGGGGGCAAATGAACTTTAGTTTGATTGAACCGAACCAAACAGGACAGGTGCGAAAGCACCCTCAGAGTCTTTGCACATGACATGACACCTGTCCTTATAAAGTGTTTATTGCTTATGCCAATAAATTACTTATGATCAAGTGGGATTCATCAGTCAGCAAAGCTAAGAGCAGATTTGGATGGTGAAGAACGGTCCGTGCATCTGGAGTTGACTTCTCCTGTATTTTCTCTTAACAGAATGAAATATAAGAACCACCTAAGTGAATGTTACTATTTCCACATCCAGCAGACAAAGTTTTATTTCTGGCCACCTCACAAGTGTAGGTCTAATATTCCTTCTCCTTTGAGCTCCGTTTGAGTTCCAGCTCCTGAAGGTGAAAGCTCCACTGTGTTCACCAGCTAGTCGCTAACTGTCTACTGGTGCTGAGCAGGTAGTGTACAGTACGTTAGACTGAACCAAAACAGTAAAGACTCCATTAAGCTGTGCAGAGCTGAGAGCAGCTGCAGAGTCAGGTGACACCTCAGGTGTGTTTGTCACTGCATGCCACCATGTTCACGTCACACCCAGTGATTGGATCCAGTCAGAACTATTGATCATTGCTGCTTTAAATGTGATCCCCCTTATTCAATCTCCCAGCTGGGTTGTACAAACAAATCTGGTTTGTGTGGGCGATTCAACATTATTTCATGGTTGTTATGAAACCTTTTCAGACTGCAGTTACGATTAAAGGCCATACAGATGAATTATAACTGATTATAAATGGATTCTAATTGGCCTGACATTTTTAGCCTCAGTGTGCAGCAGCTTCCTGCTTGAGCTCGGTGAACTCCAATTTGTGTTGCCGATTGGCCAACAGGGATTTTTAATTTAACTCTTTTTAAGTTTTTAATTTAGAACTGCTGTCACCGTCAGCCATCGTCTTTGCAGTTGTTGTCATGGTAACTGACAACTGCTGTAGGAAAACTGGTTGTCTTCTTACACTTTATACAGGGTGTGGGTAAATGACTGAAACAGAGTGACAGAATGTTCCAGAGGAGGGCCAAGTCATTGTATTGCAAGTCACAAATAAGTCACAAGTCTATGCACTTAAGTCCCAAGTCAAGCCTGACAAAACCCAAGTCCTAAACAAGTCATATTGCGCTCTTCACCAAATGTTACTATTGACTATACTATACTATTAGCATCACTTGACGTGCTGACACTGCTAACAGTACAAACATAGCTAACAGTGATGCTAAAGAGAGTTTGCAGCTAAAAAATGAGCCCCATACTCACCGGAGCGACCTGGGTGGAGGGTGGAGGGTTGACACAGTATTTCCACAGCAACACCATTGGGTCAGGATGGCATTACTTGTGGTAATTGCTGGATGAGCAGCGCCGCTAGCAAGCCCCCACCAGACCCAGTTGGTGCAGAGTGCAGTAAACTGAGGAGTAGCAAAATTAACCTACTGACCGACATGCGTAACTGGTCAAAAATATTCCAACGTTAACCAATCACTGGTCAATCAATTTCCGGTTAACCGTTGACATCCCTGCATGCAGCAGGAAATTGAGCTTTTTTGGCTAAGGAATAGGAATGAACAGGGTCTCGTGTAGGGGTGCGCCATATCATCTCGTTCATGATAATACAGGGTTTCTGCAGGTATCAGCAAATCTAATTTAATGCTTTTTAATGCCACTTCAAACAAATTTAATGCCCATGTCCAACCGCAGATACAGTTTTTTATTTATTATATATATATATATATATATATATATATATGTATAGACAAAATTGTAAGCATTTGACAATGCTAATCTTGAATATTTGAGAAAATCTAAATTTACATTAACTGTCACTCTATAGTGAATTACAAAATGGCTCACAAGACGGTTCACAGTCTCACAATTTATTTGCACATCTCAAAAATAACAAAACCAGCCTGAAGAATGATGTGAAAAAAAAAAAAAACTCTAACCTGAAAAGGCTGGAGGCGGTCACTGTAGCGGCAGGTGTGGTGGTGGTAGCAGCAGCAGCTGCAGTTGTGGTGGCGACAGCAGAAGTGGCGTTGCTGGTCACAGCAAAGAAATTCGGCACAGTTAACTGCTGCCTGCCTTTAATCGCCGACTTGTGACTGTCTGACAGCATGTGTGATTTCACCTCATTGACGCCCATTGTGCAAAGTTTGAAGATCTTTTTGCACGCGCTGCAAAATGCCTCTCCGGGTTTACCGTCGACGGGCTTTAACCAGGTTCTGAATAGTTCCTCATCCAACCACTTCTGCTGAAACTTGCATTTTCCCATTTTTCTGACATTTGCTAATATTTCCTCCGCTCTTTCGCCACAGCATGAGCACGCTCACAGCACGCTGCATTCCAGGCATCCGGTGTTGTGACTTCATGCACCGGGCCACCGGCCGTAAACAATAGCCAATTAAAGGGCTCTGCTGTCAATCATCACATTATACTTACGATCAAAATTATTAAATGTTTATATAATCAAAATAAATTGTGAATAACAATGTTTTTTTCCATCAAGTGTATTTAATTTTTTAATGCCTCTGGACATTGAATTTAATGCTTTTTAATGCCATTTAATGCCTTAATTTTCGCAAAATCTATTTAATGACTTTTAATGCTTTTTAATGACCCGCGGAAACCCTGTAATACCGGTATAATTTTTAATATCATGTGATATAATCATACCGTGATATTCGTAATATTTTGACTTGTTCACATACTGATGTCATACTGTTACCCACGGCAACAAAAAGCATGGCTGAAAGCGAAATTATTAGCGACTGCAGTGGTTCCAAAAGAGAGAGCAGCTTCAGTAGTGTGGAATAAACTGTGACATCCTGAATGTTTTATGAACAGCCCCGGACTTCTCAGACACAGTGTCTCTCCGTCTCCTCCCTCGCCGTGCGTACATGGGAGTCGGTGTCGTGAAGTGATTTTATCATAAACTTTTGGTTATATAAACTATGTAAACAAGCATAACAGCTTGTCACAGGTTACAGCCTGATGATTAGAGGAGAAATCGCAGATCATAAAAAAAGGAAGAAATCAGCTGATATTTGGGAGCTGTTTAAATGTGTAATTAGTGGTAGATTTTATTTAGTTGAACTATTAATATTGTCACAGAGTCTGAATCTCACTCTGGGTTACTGTTGTTGTTCACAAACTAAAGAAATGAGAGTTTTTACTTAATATTTTAAGCAATTTATAAAACTAGATCACTTATTTTGTTACAATTCTATGTTGTTAAAATAGTAATAAACTTTTTTTTTTACTAATGTCATATTGTCAAGAATATCATTATCGCAAAAATACTTGAAATGTCGTGATATTATTTTAGGGCCATATCGCTCACCCCTGGTCCCATCTTCAAGACTGTATCCAGGTCTCTTTAAACATCCATCATCCTCAGCTGGTGAGGATGATGGCATTTTGTTTGGGACCTGTTGGCTTTACCTTCAGTCTTTTAGCATGATATCATGTATGTAGCCATCATGTACAGCGGATCAAATCTGCCAGCAAAAGTTATTTCACCTGACATAATCTACAATCACTGGTCAGAACCAAGGAGCTGCTTTTGTCTGATAACGGGAATCTTGTCGGTGCAGCGTTTATTAAGAGGCGCACAGCTTAGCGAACAGCAAATTTTGCATGTTGCCATCTTCAAAGGATTACGGCTATCATGTCCACAGTTCAAAATTTGTCCAGCAAATGTTCATAAACAGAATAACAGATATAGTTGGTATTAGTTCCCGGTAATGCAGCGTCCTGTGACGTAAACAGTGAAACACTTGTCATGTTGTGTTCAGGTGGATGAAGAGACCTCGCTGTGGCGTCCCAGATCGTTCTCACATCTTCTACCGGCCGAGGAATAAACGCTACGCCCTGACGGGACAAAGATGGAGAGATAAAAAGATCTCCTACAGGTATCTATCCATCTATTTATCTGTCTGTTCTGTCCTCTGTTCATGTCAGTGTTACTATTTATTTCCATTTTCTGTTATTTCTTCCTCTGTCTTTGTCTTTCTTGCTAACTTCCCTTTCTGTCTATTCATTTTCTTCTTCTTCTTTTCTCTTCCTGTCCTCCTCCATTCCCTCCCTTATTGTTTGTCTCCGTCTCACTCTCTCTCTCTCTCTCCCAGTCTGAGCTTGGCTAGGCCTAATGTAAATTAGCTCCATCCCACGGGACCCTGAATGCATCTCGCATCCCTGCATTACATCCACCCACTCGTCTCTCCGTCTTTCTCTTCATCCCTCCTCTCTTTCCACCTTATTCTGTTGTCTTTCACTGTCTACATATAGTATAACCCTCCGCTGTGTGATGTGACGATGCAGCCGGCAGCTCAGCCATGTAATATAGGTCTAATGCAGATTAGAGCCGTCCCACGAGATACTGAACACATCCCAGTTTCCATTGTTGCTTCTGCCCACTTTATCCCCTCTTTCTCTCGCTCCATCTCTTGCTCTTGCCGTATCTTTTCTCCCACTCCTGCTCTCAAATTCTCAAATTCAAAATAAGCCTCAGTGTCATGAATCTAGTAGAAACAATGCTCCACGTATTTGGGTAGTTCCTCAGAGAAAATATCTAAAACTCAAAGTCCCCCTCCACTTTAAAGATATGTTTTTCCTCTGTTCATGGGACCTAAAATGTCTGACTCTGACTATACTGACTCATATTTGTGCAAAGTGTGTCACTAGAGAGGTGTTTTCACGTTCCTCTAATGAAAGGGGCGACGTCTGTCAATGCCCCTAAATTCTGAGATTGAAATGTATGCAGGGCAGCTAGATCAGTACCACGAAAGCCAGTTGCTGTTTAATCTATAGCCCTGTTTTCACCAAACACTCGGTATGGTACCTTTGAAACCAAAAGTAAGTTTTGCCTCATTTGTAGAAGTTAATATGGTGAATGCATCATTGCATAGCATACTGTAGTCTTTGCTGTCGGCTTCATGAAGCTACATTGCCTGACGCCTAGAAGCCATCTGTTTCTGCAAACCATGGACACGTGACATTTGTATTTGGCAACATTTTCTCATAGAGCAGTTCGTATCGTATCCTAGAAAAATGCAAACACAACAGTTTGTATCATACCCGACAAATGATGTAACGTCCCTAACGTACGGTTCCGTAATTAACATAAAGTTACTGAGGTTTGGTTTAGGAAGAGAAACGTGGTGAGGACGCACCTTAAAATGACTCACAGTTCACTGTTCACACAATTCCGAACACGCATCCTCAGAGGAAAGTCCCCATCCACCACCCCAACCTGCCTCCTTACAAGACTGCTCCTGACTGCTTCCATGTTTACTCCTGTCAGTGCATTGGTCACATGAAAGGGGCGGGACTTAGGATCAGTCAGTTACACTCATGACCAAATATTTCTTCATGAACTTAATGAGCTTGGGCCTTCTCTCCTTCACAAGCTTAATAACCTGCAACTTAAGGTGTATCCATTGTCTCTCGTTCTAAATTTCCAGGTACTCTCGAGGGTTAAAAAAAAATGCAAAAGCTCATTTGAAGTGCAGCAAATACAATAATTAATTAAGCTGGGCGTTGCAGCCTCTTCTCTCTTTCTCTCACTCGTCCTTTAAATCCTTCTGTCCTCCTTTTCTCCACACATCCCTTCTTACAGCTTTATAGGTCTAATGTAAATTACGCCACTCCCATGAGACACTGAAGGCATCCCAGCCCTCCTGCATTACAGCTACCCACTCTACAGAGTTACATTAAAGCCACAGTGTGAGATCACAGTCCTCTCTGGTTTCTCCTTACTGTATTTGAGTCTCCTCAGCCCCCCGTGTCTTGTTTCACCTGCTATCCGCTGTCACATTCCTGCAGTACTGCTCCGTATTGTCTTCAGCCCCGCTGCCACTGTTCAAGCTGCATTACTCCAATCGTTTTTAACTTAACTGTTCTTCTTCTAAGGCGCCAAACTATCTCTAGAGCTCTCTCCGATGAATTGCACTCGTGTGACTCATTTTCATTGGCTGATGATTTTCGGAGGAGACGTAATGCTGCCTGGATTACATTATTTATGATACAGATTTATGTTCGCTGGCAATGTTTTGTTCTGATGCATGAAGTCGGATGATGCTCTTATCCATGTTTTACTTACTCCCATGATACTTTGCACTAATTGTGGGCATGGCTTCCTGTTATCCCTTTCACTGAACCAGCCAGTCTGTGACAGTTAATGCTTCATGTGGCTTTCTGTTGCTGAGAGATTTTGGGGAAATTGCGATGCGGGAACACACCCTGTCACCAGCCTTTAAAGTGGAGATGAAACACTGAACAATGTCACTGGGGCTCGTTTGATGTTTACTGTGCGCAACATATGACACTGCAATCAAACTCGTATGTTTTAGCTGATTATGATATGTAAACAACTGTTGTGTGTAGTTTACTCCTACAACCTCGTCATAAAGTCGTTACAAAGCTAAGGGCCTTGCGGTGTGATTGATGTGGACCATTTAAAGATACAACCACCACAGCAGGTTCAATAAATGCTTCTGTCAGACGGGCATTCAACCAACCAACAGATATAACTCACCTGTTATGCCTCATCATAATCCACAGATCAATAATATTCCAACAATAACAGTCCTCATACACTCCCAAAGGTCCAGACGATCTAAATCCAGCAAAATATTGAATCCAGTCACGTTCTTAAATCCATAGATGTCCACAATCTGTCATTGCATCATTTCAGAGCTTTATATTTTTCCTCCTACTGTCCTAATGACTCCAATTTGCATGTCAACATGCCGACAGGTTGATACAAAAATGGCGGCTGCACTCTGACCTTTTGATTGACACTTCACTTGAGCCAATAGGAGCTTCCATGTCCTCTCCACAGCCCACAATAGCCAACAAAAGCCTGTGTTGAAAGGAAGGGCCTGTCAACAGCAAGCAATGTGACTTATGGGTCTTGTAGTCAGTCAGTACATTTACATGCACAGTTAAGCTACAGTTACAGCTCAACTAGACTAGACTTTAACATCACAGACCAAGTAAGTTAGCTAGCAAAAAGTCACGGCTCTGGATGTAGATTTCTCCATGTTGTTACCGGCTTCTTCTTCTCTTACACATTTAATGCTATTGGACTTCTGGGTCAAAGCCCGGGGCGGAAACTGTGGAGCATGCTCAGAGCGCCTCGGCCAGTTTGGGTCTGATTGACTGTATATATGCAGGAGTCACATTATCTGGGTGTGTTAGTCCCACTTAAAAAGAAAATCAACTTGGTGTGATTTCAGTCAGACAAATATGTTTACATGTATTTTAAAAGTCTGGTTTAAGTTGGACTAACACAATAAATGTTATGTAAACGCGCTGTATTACACTCCTGAGCTCAAGAGGATAATAGACCGTTATTATCATTATTATTACTGTAAATGATGGCTCTTCTGTTCACTTCTGTCTTAAGGAAACTCAGTCCATCTTATCAATTTAGATTTTTCTAGAAGTGTTTC